AAAGCAATTTGTTTAAGGAGGACATTGAGGTTACACCACGCAAGTGACTTCCCTTTCCCACACTGTGGGCCTAGAACCAGAGCCACAGGACTCCGAGAGGAAGAGGAACCACATCTTCAAAGACAAAGACAGGCAGAGGGTCCAGTCTGAGCATGTAACTCTCCTGATTTCAGGAAATGCTCACCACAGGTTTCTCACATAGCAGTCACCTCCTCTCAGCTCTCCACGTGGGTAGTCTGTGAGCAAAAAGACACTCTTCTCCATTGCTGGAGAGAATGCAACTGTTCTCCAAGCCTATGGATGGATCTTATGCTAGTGAAAACCACAAGCGTGCATTCTGGGACCAGGGATCTTTCTTCTAAGGATCCATCCCAACGAACATGGAAGGGGACACAAAGAATCTGACAGAGCAACAATGTAGAACTCCAAGAGCAGAACTATGAAAAACATCTGTGGGAAGGAAAGAGGGACAGCATGATCTCAGGTGTATCTACCACTCAAATGACTAGGTACGCATGTGCTTAGCCAGGTATGATGGTATGCATCTGTGATGCCAACAGGCTGATGGTAAAAACAAGAGAATAGTCGTTTTGAGGCTATCCTGAGCTACATAGTGAGCTCAAGTTTTACCTGACTTATATACTGAGATTCTATCTCAAAACAAACAAAATAATTTTTAAGAAGGCAACATGAAGTCCATGATTATAAAAAAAAAAAAAATAATTATAGAGTGATCTCCAGGATATATTGTGAATACACAACACAAGGTGAAGAAATGAGGCCAGGGTTATCTGCCTAATGTTTTCCTCAGTTACATGCGGCACATGGAGGTTAATAAATTATATAACCCTATTTAAAATAAATAAAGTCAGCTTTAACAAACAAAATTTAACTGTATTATAAATGTCACACTCAGCACTGCTCAGATTTTCGGTGGCCAACAGCCACAGACAGCTAGTGCTTCCTGGGCTGGGCAGTGCAGATGCAGAGCATTTTCATCAATTCAGAAAGGTGCATTGGGAACAGAGAGTGCACACCTTTATTGTGAGTGGGAGAATTGATAAAAAATGTATGCTTGTGCTTTGAAACACTGGATAGTTGAGCGCCCTCCAAGAAAAGAAAATGATCTCCTATAGAGTGCCCTGGAAGAAACCAGGACAGAGGCTGACATTTATGCTCTCGAAGATGCAGAAGTACTCATTCCATGCACTGATTCCAATCAACTACTTATCACCAACAACTCCATTGCTCAGACTGAGTCCACTAAAAACACTGCCCCCTCAAAGATGCCTGGGGAAAATGGCTGATTCCAGATTTGGGGCCAGGAATGCAACAGAAAAGTGCACAGTGACCTATCGCATCAGGAAGAATTTGGAAAAGACTAAGAAGTCCGTGTTAAAATGGAGATCTTCACTTGAGTGCAGCAAGTCAGACTTATCAGGGAGATGTGGAATATTTTCTCTTACAGACTGAATTAAAGACCAGACGTGATAGTAGTAGCCAAACCTACTATTTTATAATATATATGAATTTAATTGGAGTTACCTGACGAAAGGGATGATGCTTCTCCCAGAAACCATGGATTATTAAAAAGCCCAGTGCCAAGTGTGGAACACCCCCTCCAGCTGTTGGTCAGGGCTGTTCCAGTGATCCCCCAAAACAATGCAGGTATTGTTTTGATCTTGATTCCTATTGTCATTGCTCTTGATTCCTATTGCTTAAGACACCACACACGTTGGCCACAGGGTATGGAGAAATCAAGTTGACACTGACCAGAAACCTTCCTTCCTATTACCTAGTTTTCCTATTACCAGAAGATACTACCAGGCTATTGAGAGGAGGAAAGTTGTCAATGTTCTTATTCCTCTGTGAACTACAATAATGGCCAACATGGCAAGATATACCCATGGGTCAACAGTGGCATGAATATCACAGAGGTAACCAAGTAACTTTATGTTTCAATTTAAGGCCCACTCCACAGGAGGAAACACTTGCCTAGTACTATAAATTTGATCATGATCCCATGGTTGGCGAGTTCAGAGGTCCCAGAGGTGAAACTACAACCCCCACCACCACCACCACCACCACCACCACCATTACCACCACCAACATCACCACCACCACCATTACCACCACCATCACTACCACCACCACCACCATCATCACCACCACTACCACTAACACCACCACCAAAATTACCACCACCACTAACACCACCACCATTACCACCATCACTACCATTACCACCACCATCACCACCACCACCACCATCACCACCATCACCACCATCATCACCACCATCACCACCATCACCACCATCACCACCACCACCACCATCATCACCACCATCACCACCACCACCACCACCACCACCACCACCACCACCATCACCACCACCACCACCACCACCACCACCATCACCACCACCACCACCACCACCACCACCATCACCACCATCACCACCACCACCATCATCACCACCATCACCACCACCACCACCACCACCACCACCACCACCATCACCACCACCATCACCACCACCACCAATACCACCACCACTATCACTACTACTACCTTTACCACTAGTGCCATTACTACTACTCCTCTGGGAGGTGAACATTGTATGACACTTCCAGGTGTCACTAAGGTGAGCAAGTATTGCTGCAGAGATTAGAGAAGCTTCTTCATCAACTGATGTGTGTCATTAAATCACCAAGTTTCACGATAAGGGTCATTGGGTTTCCAAACCATCCAGGGAATGTCTCAAAAACACAAGAAACAACTGATATCAGAAAACAGCACCACTATGTGGACATGGAGCCAGAAAAGCCCAGGAATTTTTGCCCCGCCTCTTCCCCATAAGCCCCATGCACAGTCACTGCCCTGCCAACAGCAGCCATGGCCAAAGGTTCCACTCTCTACACACTGCAGCTGCATGGCTCCCATTGACCATAATGGCTGTTCCAACCCACTCTCGCAACAGTTTCTACTCAGTTCATTCTACACACAATAACATAACAACAACAAGAGTGAAATTGTGACTCTCTCCAAATCTTCCTTTCATAGTCATAATACAACTGAAAGACTATGAGAGTCATCTACCCTTTCCACCTCACACCGACATGACTACACTGTCCGCCAGCCTCTAGGCATGTCCTCTGCTCGTAGACCAAATGAGGTCCATGTGGACAAGCCCACCAACAAGGCTTGTATATCCCTTGTTCTTCTTGTCAATCAGGACTCGAGTCAAATGCTACCTGATGAAACCGACCTTTGGGGGAAACCCCACCTACAACAATCCCCATCACAGCCATTTTATGTCCACCTTGAGTTCTTTAAAGCACAAATAACATATGGAGTTGCTCCAATTACTGCTATCCTCTACTTACTGACAATTTAGCCATCTAACTCTGCTAGTCTTCTCAGTGCAGGAACCCGGTGCTCACAAAAGAGGCCACTATGTGAATATCTGGATAAACATACATGAAGGAATTGATTTATCTATTTGATATGCCATGTAACACACTGGTATTTATGGGATTAACAAGAGGACATTGTATGGAATTAAGCAGTCTGTGATCCATATCCTGAAAGACAGAATGTAAAACCCACTAGCAATACTTTTTTTTAAATTTTTTAATTTATTTATTTATTAAAGATTTCTGTCTCTTCCCCGCCACCGCCTCCCATTTCCCTCCCCCTCCCCCAATTAAGTCCCCCCCTCAGCCCGAAAAGCAATCAGGGTTCCCTGTCCTGTGGGAAGTCCAAGGAACCCCACCTCCATCCAGGTCTAGTAAGTTGAGCATCCAAACTGCCTAGGCTCCCACAAAGTCAGCGTGTGCAGTAGGATCAGAAACCCATTGCCATTGTTCTTGACTTCTCAGTAGTCCTCATTGTCCGCTATGTTCAGAGAGTCCGGTTTTATCCCAGGCTTTTCCAGACCCAGGCCAGCTGGCCTTGGTGAGTTCTCAGTAGAACATCCCCTTTGTCTCAGTGTATGGGTGCACCCCTTGCGGTCCTGAGTTCCTTGCTCGTGCTCTCTCTCCTTCTGCTCCTGATTTGGACCTTGAGATTTATGTCCGGTGCTCCAATGTGGGTCTCTGTCTCTGTCTCCTTTCATCGCCTGCTGAAGGTTAATATTCAGGAGGATGCCTATATGTTTTTCTTTGGGTTCTCCTTATTTAGCTTCTCTAGTATCACTCATTATAGGCTCAATGTCCTTGGTTTAAGGCTAGAAACCAAATATGAGTGAGTACATCCCATGTTCCTCTTTTTGGGTCTGGCTTACCCCACTCAGGATAGTGTTTTCTATTTCCATCCATTTGTATGCAAAATTCAAGAAGTCCTTGGTTCTTACTGCTGAGTAGTACTCTAATATGTATATATTCCATACTTTCTTCATCCATTCTTCCATTGAAGGGCATCTAGGTTGTTTCCAGGTTCTGGCTATCACAAACAATGCTGCTATGAACATCGTAGAGCATATACTTTTGTTGTATGATAAGGCCTCTCTTGGGTATATTCCCAAGAGTGGTATTGCTGGGTCCAGGGGTAAGTTGATCCCGAATTTCCTGAGAAACCGAAACACTGACTTCCATAGTGGTTGCACAAGTTTGCATTCCCACCAGCAATGGATGAGTGTACCCCTTTCTCCACAACCTCTCCAACAAAGGCTATCATTGGTGTTTTTTATTTTAGTCATTCTGACAGGTGTAAGATGGTATCTTAAAGTTGTCTTGATTTGCATTTCCCTGATCACTAAGGAAGTTGAGCATGACCTTAAGTGTCTTTTGGCCATTTGAAGTTCTTCTGTTGAGAATTCTCTGTTCAGCTCAATGCCCCATTTTATAATTGGGTTGGTTAGCCTTTTACGGTCTAGTTTCTTGAGATCTTTATATATTTTGGAGATCAGACCTTTGTCAGTTGCGGGGTTGGTGAAGATCTTCTCCCAGTTAGTGGGTTGCCTTTGTGTCTTAGCGACAGTGTCCTTTGCTTTACAGAAGCTTCTCAGTCTGGACAGCCATCAGAAAGAAGTGGCTATGCCACACCCCACTTCTCAGGTATTGATTCAGTGTCTGTTGTGGACCCAGATATCTAACATTTTAATAAGCATGATTTAGTGTCTGTCGTGGACCCAGATATCTACCATTTTAATAAGCACTCCCTGCAAATGTGATGCAGTAATGCATGGCCCTTTCGGGGAAATGGTCTGATGGGGATGGCGTCCATTTCAGTCCTGGTCATTTAAAGGAACCCATGCAGACTTCTGTCATCTGGGGAGTCTATGAATGCCATTGTTCCACAGTGTGCTGCTCTTTGCTGCTACCTGCTCAACAGGATGTGTTCCTACAAGGCATCACAGATCCCCTGCTGGTCACACGGATGGGAAGAGAAAAGGAAATGACTGACCTGGTAAGTCTCACATGATCTTGCCACTCTTGCTCAGGTAACAGGCTGACCAGACCACACCACACTTGGTTCTTCTCCAGGAGCTGGTTCTTCATGGAGAGTTCACAGTTTCCCCCTGTTCTACTAGAAGGCAGAGAAGGAGGAGAGAAAGCTCATGGAGAGGGGAGGAAGGCAGATGAGAACGCTGATGCACTCTACTGTAGTGAATAAAGGGATGGAGTAGTCTGTCTGCATCCAGTCAAGTCAAAGATGTGCAGTGACATCTTCCTCTTCTTTGTTCATCTCACAGACCCTTCCTATACAGACACACACACACACACACACACACAAACACACACACACTCACACACACACACACACACTCACACACTGGTGGCACTGATGACTCACATACTGGAAACAAGGGCTCATGTCAGCTTCTTGTCAACCTTCTGTGTGTACTCTCTACAGTCTTGTTGTTCTTCTCATAGAAGAGACCTGACATTGACAACCTTGAAAAGGAACAAACTTGGAGGATGAACACCTGACTCCCAAACTCCTTATAAACATAGAGAAATGAAGACAGTGTGCCTGATTGGAAATGACAATAAGACAGAAAAGAATATGAAGGGGACAGAAGAGTCACACATGTGTAGGGGACACCTTTAGCAAAGACACAAAGACACTTTAGTGAAGCAGGCATATGCTGGTCACCGAGTTTTTCTGGGACTGTTGTTGGTTATAGGAGGTACAGCCCAGCATCGTGATCAGCTGCCTAAGGATAACCCTGTCCCTTTGATGACCTTGACCTTGGTAAAGCTGGATCTATGATTAGGATGCAGAAAAGAATTTCAGGAAAAGCCAGAATGAAGCAAAGCTTGTGAGCTTATTAATGCTATGGAAGAAGCTCACATAGTATAGGGATGGCTCAGGAATGAAGGCCTGAGTGAGGACTAGAGAGACTTGAGATTAGGTTGTGTGAGGAGGGCAGGAGAGTGAGAAATGTGAAGATTTTTATGGTTCTCAGAGTTACATTGTTACATTATTACATTGTTTTAAAATTTCATGCTTTGAGTCTTTGAAATGGTTCTGTTTTTCCACTTGAAGAAAATATACAATAGGTTATTAAAAGTAAAAAATAAAAATGCTTTTAAATGTTCTTATCCCTTTTAAAAATCTTTTAGTAAATTAAATTGTAAGGTGAATATGTGATTCTGCCAACATTCTGGTCCTAAGTAAGCATAATTAATTAATTTTTTAATGTTTTTCACAAGGAAGTCTGTGCACCATCTGAGTGAATACCTATTGCTCACAGAGGACACCAGAGTTTGAGATCTCTCAGAACTGGAGTACAGACAGTTGTGAATCATCAGGTAGGTGCTGGGTATCAACCCTGGATCCTCTGGAAGAAATCCAGTGATATTAAAGAATGAACCCTATCCTCGGAACCTAGTTTATTTGCTGTAATTTTTAAATACTATTTGGGATGTCTTTAGTACTACTTGCATTATATCTGTGGGTAATTTCGACTCTATCAGTTGGGTGGAGGCTTCTTGAATGTCAGTTAGAAAAATGTAAAAATGATCACAGGGCCGGGTGGTGTTGGCTCACGCCTTTAATCCCAACACTTGGGAGGCAGAGGCTGGCAGATCTCTGTGAGTTCGAAGCCAGCCTGGTCTACAAGAGCTAGTTCCAGAACAGGAACTAAAAAGCTATGAAGAAACCCTGTCTCGAAAATCAAAAAAAAAATGATCACAGGGTGAGGGGCTGTGTATTCCCCTCTCATATCCCCTTCAATGCCCTGTTTTTCTGTCTTATTATGGGACAAGTGGGCATCCTCATGGACAAATATAAATATAGACAAGTTGTTTATCACCGGACACAAAAGTCAACCAAAATTAACAAATGATCTACATAGGACTAGAGAGACATCTCCGAGGTTAAGAGTGCCTTTGGCTATTGCAGAGGACCTGACTTCAGCTTACAGTACCCATATGGTGGCCCACAGATACCTATAACTCCAGATCCAGGTGAGCTGACAGTCTTTTCTGGTCTCGGCAAGCATCTGCATTCAAATGTGCATACGGCACACACAAACATATAGGCAGATGATGGAGGAAGGTCATTGGCTAATAAAGGCACTGCCCTGGCCCATTTTATTGGTTAGAGGATAGGTGGGAGGAGTAAACAGAACAAAATGCTGGGAGGAAGAGGAAGTGAGCTCAGAGACTTGACAGCTCTCTCGGGAGCAGACGCCTCAGAGAGAGACGACATGCCCCGCTCCCGGGATGAAGCTCCGACCCAGGATGGACATAGGCTAGAATCTTCCTGGTAAGCGCACCTTGGGGTGCCATACACAGATGATTAGAAATGGGCTAAATTAATATGTGAGAATTAGCCTAGAAGAGAATGGGCCAGGCAGTGTTTAAAAGAATACTGTGTCCGTGTAATTATTTTGGGGCATAAGCTAGCCGGGCAGACGGCTGGGGTGTTGGGGACACAGCCCCACCGCTCTTATTACTTCATATGGCACCCACGTGGACAACTGCTTCCACATAAAGCCTGAGACAGCTTGGGAAGTAATTCTAGAACAAAATGAAAGCATTGTGCCTGGTTTCTTGGTAGAAGCAATTTCTCGGTTCTACTCTGCTTGCTAGAGGCAAGCAAGCCCCTCATCTAAGAGAGACTTCCTGACTCAGCTTTAGCTACAAAGCCTGCAGCTCATTAAGAGGTCCTGCCACGAAACACTTAAACGGTGTTGATGCAAAGCTGAACACATGCTTTTCGGTTTTCAGCCATAGCAGGAAAAAAGCTGTGCCGTTTAAAAATGCCGGCTTTCTGGGCTGTCCTGCCAGGGCAAACTCTGACTCTTTTACGCAGATGGTTTGTGCGGTTTGCAAGCACAGGCTGCTGAAGCTCGCTTGCTGGCTACAGCCAGTACCTCAGCCATGAGGCTGGAAAGCTGAGGAATGGGCTGGATCCAGCCGGCAAAGCCACGCCTTTAATCCTACTGATATTGCTTGGTAAATTAAAGACTCGTGTGGTCAGAAAAAGAGAGATATACAGTAAAGAGAGATTCAAAGACAAACAAAATTTCTAAATGGTTTAAAGTGTGTTAAAAATATATGCAGACTAAAATTTAAAGTTCTTAAAAAACAAAAAAAAGGAAGAGAGTTGTTGTGTGTGGTATCACACGCCTTTAATCCCAGTGCCTAGAAGGCAGAGACAAACAGATTTCTGTGAGTTCAAGGTGTACTCGTTTACACCTTTAATCCCGAATGCCTGGGAGGCAGAGACAGGCAGATCTCTGAGAGTTCAAAGACAGCCTGGTCTACAGAGTTACTTCAGGTCAAAGATACAGAGAACCTGTCTCAAAAAGCAAAGAGTTAAAAGTAAAAATAAACAAAATAGACGTTAAAACAAAGCTGTACTGGGGCTGGAGAGATGGCTCAGTGGTTAAGAGCATTGCCTGCTCTTCCAAAGGTCCTGAGTTCAATTCCCGGCAACCACATGGTGGCTCACAACCACCTGTAATGAGGTCTGGTGCCTTCTTCTGGCCTGCAAACATACATACAGACAGAATATTGTATACATAATAAACATTTAAAAAATATTTAAAAAAAAAACAAAGCTGTACAAAGATGGAAAATACACAGAGAATCTTGATACTGTATGCTATTATGCTCTCTTTGAATTATTTGAATGCTGAGGAAGGAGCAACAGCTGCTAAAAGATATTTATTTATAAATACTGCTGAACTAATCCAACATAGATATTTTGAATTGGGATCTAAGGATATGATACTTTGGAAAGGAGTTTCTTATTTTGTTTTCACAGAGGATGAGACGCTGTTCATTTCTTCTATTCCAATATGGTATGATGGACCACGCCCTCCTGAAGGGTTGTTGTGAACATCTTCAAAAAATTGCTTCGCTCAACTGCCAACTGAGATGAAACTAGCACACAGGTTATACCATGAAAGACCTAATTAACGATGCCCCCATTCAGCAGGAAGCAGTGTGGAGACAAAAAACTGCACCCATGTTCCCAAATATGGTTTATAAATGTTCTTTTATATTTAAAGGGGGATATGATATAGATATGAATAATTTACATTAGTATAGATTTTGCTTTATTCATAGAGATTTAAGGTCAATTTTGTTATATGTATAAGTGTTTCTGATTTTGATTAAGGTATTGTGAGTGTGTAGTTCATTTAAATATGTACTATATAATTAAGAAATATAGGTTGTTAATGGATAATCATCGATAATAGTAAAGCTTGTAGTCATGTTAGTTAGATTTTCTAGACATATAGAGATATATTTTAGATAGGCATTCTTCATGTCTTTCAAAGATTACAGAATAGGACATTTAATGTTTTAATAACTGAGGACTTTTCATGACAATGAGACACTCTGCTCCTGGCAGCACCAATCTACTTCAAGAGGAAGATGGGCATCGAAGAGGCTTGTTATGGAGTTTGATAGCCATTTGGGCAAGAAACTGCTCTTGCCTGGACTATTGCATAAACTGGACACAGAGAACCCACAGAGAGAGGACTACTGAACTTGCCTAAGGTGAGATGATCTTTTGGGGTTCCTGATTCATGAAAGAGTCTGCGAGACATTCTGCAGGACACAACAGATAGTGACTGAACTGACTTTGAATTTTCCTGCTTTATGGAAATGTCTGCTGGATACCATGGGCCTGAAGGCTGAAGATGGATGCCCCAACGGTACAAAAGAACTTTGGGTGACTGTCCAGGCAGCGAGATGTCTTTGTCATTTCTAGAGTTTGAAGTTTCTTAGTTCTTGTTTACTTAGGTAATATATCTTTCTGGAGTCTTTGATGGAGTTAAGAATAGTTAGTTATAGTTATAGTTTTCCTTAGTTATGATAAAGATTATTGCAACTTTTACTTGATAACTGTTTTGTTATATGTAATTTTGCTATGTTAAAGTTAAAGCCTTTTTTTGTTTAAACAGAAAAAGGGGAAATGATGGAGGAAGGTCATTGGCTAATAAAGGAACTGCCTTGGCCCATTTTATTGGTTAGAAGATAGGTGGGAGGAGTAAACAGAACAGAACGCTGGGAGGAAGAGGAAGTGAGCTCAGACTCCACAGCTCTCCTCTCGGGAGCAGACACCTGAGAGAGACGACATGCTCCTGGCTCCTGGGCAGACACACGCAATGAAGCTCCGGCCCAGGATGGACATAGGCTAGAATCTTCCCGGTAAGCGCACCTAGGGGCGCAACCTAGGGGCGCAACACAGATTATTAGAAATGGGCTAAATTAATATGTAAGAATTAGCCTAGAAGAGGTTAGATAGAAATGGGCCAGGCAGTGATTTAAATGGATACAGTTTGTGTGTTGTTATTTCGGGTAAATCTAGCCAGTGGTGGGAGCTGGGTGGCGGAATGCAACCCGCAGCACCCCACAACATCTATAGATTTGCTTCTGTTTGTAAACTTCCTTTAGTCCTTTTTAGCAGTATGTCTCATATTGAGAAACACTTATGTTTACTTTTGATGATATCTTTTTATCTCCACTATAACCCTGGAGAATAATATATGTAGACCAAGAGATTCAGATTTGATAATTGCTTCTATTTCAGCACTTTAACAAATATTGTGCTTTATCCCTTGGCACCGTGAGGCAGCAACTGGTACAGAAGTCATGGAGGGGTGCTGCTTACTGGATTGGTCACAGGGCTTGTTCAGACTGGTTTCTTATTGAACCAGGACCACCCTCCATCAGTCACTCTTAAGAAAATGCTGTATGTCCTCCCAATCCAAGAGCAAGGGAGGTCTTTCCATTTTCTGGTGTCTTATAGCTCCAACTACTTAATATCTGACTCCAGATTTTATTATTAAGACCAATTAGAACTCACGCTACAATCATCTGCATGCAATGGAAGATACAGGTGTCTGTTCTCCTCATACAGTCCTATAGATCCAGTGCAATACCAACAGAACTCTAACAGACTTTTCATAAACTAATGGGCTTATCCTGAAATTCACAGTGAATATGGAGAACCCCAGCTTGAAACAACCTTATAAAGGAACAAACTTGGAGGATGAACACCTGACTTCCAAACTCTTTATAAACCTAGAGAAATGTAGACAGCGTGCCTGATTGGAAATGACAATAAGACAGAAAAGAATATGAAGGGGACAGAAGAGTCACACATGTGTGAGGGGACACCTTTAGCAAAGACTCAAAGACACTTCAGTGAAGCAGGCATATGCTCTTCACCGAGGTTTGCTGGGACTCTTGGTGGTGGTAGGGAGGTACAGCCCAGCACAGTGACCAGCAGCC